GTAGATGAGGTAAGGGTGGGCACAAGATAAAGCGAGGCTGTTACTGGGCAGTGGAAAAAGAAGGCAAGCTGAGTTTTAGAGACAGGACAGATAGGGTCAGAGAGGACAGGAGGACAGAGAAGATGGAGGAAGGAGATGAACCCGATCCACATGGCTTTTAATAGCCACAGGTAGCTATGAATATCAGAGAAGAGATAGAATAATACAGGACAAACTGTCCAATCTAGGTGGGCAGCTTGTATCAATTGGCTCGGAGTTCGCTGTGTGGGTGTTTTGTGGGTTAAGAATTTACTGATATAAATCTGACTGATAAATGACAAGCCTCTAAAGTTTTGATTTTACTGTGTTATGGGGATTGTGACAGCTAGCCGCAGGGGGCGGATGACTGGGAATGTGAGCAGGTTCCAGCAGTAAGTGAACCTCGAGTTGGGCAGCTGCTACATGGGGACCACAGGGGTGCTCACATTACTAGAGCATAGCTGGCAATAGCGTGTATTGTTTTTAATATTACATGCAACATATATATATATATATATATACAATATATATGCAATATATATATGAATATACATATATATGTGTGTGTTATACTATATACGTTAATGTGTATGAGTATTTGCCTGCATTTATGTGCATGTGTGTGCCTGGTGCTCATGTAGACCAGAAGAGGGAGCAGGATCCTCTGGAACTGTAATTACAGACTGTTGTGAGCCACCATATTGATGCTGGGAACCAAACCTGGGTCCTGTCTAAGAGCAGCAAGTGATCGTAACCACTAAACTAGCTAGCTCTTCAGCTCCTATTTACACAAGACTTAAGATGGCATTACTGTTCTGATCTAAACAGTTGAAGAGTCACATGGCTTCACAGAGCTAAAAGAAATGAAGGCAAAAACTAGGCATGCATTTTAAGTTGAACTTTTCTTAGTGTTGCCCTGTCATGGGTTAACTAGGATGTCCTAAAGGCAGATGTACTTCCTGTGTCTTGGAATATTATATGGCTCCAAATTAGCACATAATTTTTATGTGTAATCATCATAACTAGTGCATGACTTGACAAGGTTTTTCACACAAGGAAAGGTCACCTGCCTTGTGGTTAGAACCTGAACATTTCAGGTTTCTAAAAAGTTTCTGATCCAGTTACTCCGTTTGCTGTTTGGTGTATGTTTCCAATATGGCCAGTCCACTTGAATATGGCCTTTTACTATCTGAAAACATTTTCAGTTCAGAAAAACCAAACAAACAAACAACCTGGCTAGATGTAGGTAAAGTAGCATCCAATTTAAAAGAAAAAATTTTTAGCCAGGCGGTGGTGGCGCATGCCTTTAATCCCAGCACTTGGGAGGCAGAGGAAGGCGGATTTCTGAGTTTGAGGCCAGCCTGGTCTACAGAGTGAGTTCCAGGACAGCCAGAACTACACTACACAGAGAAACCCGGTCTCGAAAACCACCCCCCCCCCAAAAAAAAAAAAAAAAAGAAAAAATTTTTAAACAGATGATCAAGCCCGTTCAGTCAGTCAACAGGTTTTCCAGCGCAGGAGTGAGGGTTAAAAGAAAAGAGACGATTAGACAATATTGCAGTTTGACCCCAGCCAGTTCTGAGGCTGAAGGCAGGTTCGTTTATTCCCACTTTTCGTTTAAACCCTTTTAATTTCATGCAGGTATTTAGGTCAGTTCTAGGTTAAGGAACCAACAATACAATAGATACAGTCAAGGAACAAACAAGGCAGTATACAGAGTCCTGTGATCACTCTCATGACTGCGGTTTCTAAGGGCTCATCGGTATGACAAAAATATCTGAGCCTACTTCTCTGTCCTAGCCCACAGTCATATTCATGCCTACTTCTTTGTTATAGCTCAAGACTTGGATTCCTGCCTGAACTTACTTCCTTGTCATGGCCCAATGTCAGATTCCTGCCTAAAGCCTGTTTCCTTGTCGTTGCCCAATGTCGGATTCCTGCCAAGCAGCCCCAAAAGCTCTCCACAAACAGATTTTAGTGTATGAGAGTTTTGTTTGCATGTATGTAGTACCTGCAGAGGCCAAAAGAAGTCATCGGGTCTCCTGGAGGAACTAGTGTCACAGATGGTTTTGAGCCACCATATGAGTACTGGGAACCAAACCAGGCTCCTCTATAAGAGCAGCCAGTGCTTTTAACCACTAAGCCATTTCTCCAGCCTGAGTTTTAATTATATGTATGGGCATGTGTGCTTGTGTGTGGGTACTTGCATGTGAATGCAGATGAGGCCAGAGCTGCCTGAGGTGGGTACTGGGCATTGAACTCACGTCCTCTGGAAAAGCAGAGAACATTAACTGCTGAGCCATCCCTCCAGCCCCTAAAATATTTTTTGATAGATGCATTCTAGTGCTAGCTCTGTCACCACCTAGGGGAACTTATGTAAATCACTTCATTACTTTTTCAAGAAACACCTTAGTCTCTCATCTCAATCTGTCGTAAGGGGATTTCACCAAGTCATTATCTATCATCCTTGCTAAACAACCAAATTGCTTAAGGTGAATGTGTATTTGGAGATCAGGGTTAAATTGTTCTAGGGATGAGGTCCTGCATACTCCTATTTTCACAGTCTCCTCTACAATTATTAAGCCTTAGGTTTAAACAAACAAACAAACAAACAAACAAACAAACCTAAGGACATCTGCCCAGAGCAAATTCTCCTCCTCCCTAAGATGGAAAACTCACCTGCTTAGATGGGCAATCTAGAAATTACCAGTTCAGATTTCCTCACAGAGCAATGTTCAGGGGCTTTAAGATTTGATCTGTGTTGACTGCCCAAGGGTCACTGTAGAGAAGCCTGGGCTTTTGATTGGTTATACTCAATTTAAGAATGCAAGCAGCTGAGTTCTCTTTTCACAAAGCTGATGTTTAGATTCTTAGTTTAACTGCATGTCAATTTCTTAACTGGTTTCTAGTATTAGCTCAGTGTTAGGATTAAATAAGGCAAGCTTTTAATGTCTTTGTAGTTATCCAGATGTTTCCTCTTATCTAAGGTCTCCCACCAGACTTCAAATTATGATTACTCTGAGACAGTGTACCCACCAACCACTTCTATAGTGGTAGCTCATTAGATTACAGTTCCATTGCTAATTTCCTACCATAGCATACAAAATGAGACAGTACAGTGGGAACTGTGTTTACCTGGGAATCTTGAAGCTTAAGATCAGTCACATGGAGGGGGAGATTGTAACAAAAATAAGGCCATGAAAATGCTGTATGGATATGCATTATCTGGTAATCCACTTAAACAAGAGCTTGAAGGGAGATACCCTGCATGGACTGATAATCCAACTCCTAGCATCAGTGACAGGTGTGGGATAGCTCTGTAGGAATTGATCAGAAAGGCTCTCAAAACAATATAGGTTCTTGTCAGTCCTCTTGGTTGTTTACTAGAATTAGGTCATGACTATATTCTGTGACTTCAAAGCCAGTCTGGTCTACATAGCAAATTCCAGGCCAGCCAGTGCTACACAGTGAGATCTTGTCTCAAAACAAAAACAAACCGCTATTGCACACTTTAATTAGACAGAAAACACACTAGAACCATGCTGGAAACTTCTTCCCTTATGGGTAGCTTTCAGAGTAGGAATGTGTAATGTAAGCAGGTGGGAGAGACAGTCTTAACCCACTGGGAATTTTACCAGCTACAAAACCTACCTTCCAGACAACACGTGACACCTGCTTAACAATGGCATGGCTGTCACGGGAACTGTCAACCTCCCAGATTGGATTTGAGGTCTGCTTCATAGTAGTGAGACCCATGTCAACAGTTCATGCCTGGTCATAGGCATTAGGGTAGGGGAAGATGGGGATAAGACGTACTACTGTTAACTAAATTGACATAGCACCAAACTACCTTCTAAATATGTTCATACCACAAACACTCTTAGCTTTAGAAAGTTCTCTGCAGTGAACAGAGGTCAATGAAGACTACCGGCTGCCCAAAGTGCTCAAAACAAGTGGTGATTGGGTGCCTGACATTTATTACAGTCTAAGGCTCAGGGATGACTGTAGAAGAGGTGGGGAAAATATAGAATAGGACAAGAAGAAAAAGGCTGTGAAGAGCCAATTTACAGGCATGATGCAACCCTTGCAATTATCAACTCAGAGCAACTATGACCCTTGGCCGAGGGTGGCCCTGCCAACTTGCATGGGGGCCCACTTCTGAACTAGTTTTAACTGGTAAGACTTGAATCGTTTTTTGTTTTGTACCTACTGCTAAGCCCACCATGCTCCAATGGATGGCTCTAAATGCATGGCATGCCCACATGGTCACAGACCTTGCCTTGGTTAAACTCAGTGGAATTCTCAAAGAAAGGTGAGAAAGATTTATAGAGAAGATGAATCTAGACAGGGAATCAAGTCAGGGTAGATGAGTGTTACAGCATGCATTAGTGTATGAAACTGTCAAGAACAAAAAGGGGTCTCTTGATTTTAAGCCCTCCTCCCCTCCCAAGTAAGTACACTTAGCTTCTAGCTCCCTGGTACTAAGGAAAGCTAATGGACTGCTGCTGAAGTGACCGATGGGATGCTATATAGCTAGGCAGTATAGACAGACCCCCGAATGTTTGGGCCATCTGATGGCTAGAGTCAGGCCATGTACCCATCACCAGCTCTAAGAAGCAGGGCAGTGTTATCCAGGAAAGTAGGAGACCAGAATGGCTTTTCCCCCTCATCCTTCCCCTTCTTAGGCCCGTTTCTTGTAAGGTAGCTTTTCTAGATAGCAACCAGCCATGCACTGAGCTGCTCCTGTTTCTGCAAATCTGAAACATTAGCTGCTTTGCAGATACTGTCCTTCCCAGCCACTGCTTGCCCCCGATCACAGCCACCTGAAACTCTTCCATGTTCTGGAATTCAGAACATCCGGTGCTCTAAGAAGAGCAGTATGAAATGTGGGACCATCATATTAGGACTCACCAGTGACAGACTCTAGAATAAACACTGTGACTAACGTTGGCTGCAAGGTGACCAGACCAAGAAGAAGGAACTCTCAGAGGAACACACTGTAACTTTATTTTCTTTTATCTAGCACATACAATAAATGCTTAATGTTTGGAGTTGTGTATTCAATAAATTCAATAAACAGATAAGCAGTGATATACCAAATACAAGCATTAAAAGGATATTTTTTAAAGTAAATGTCTGTTTAGAATAATGTTACAAAAGCCAGAACTGGGTTCTAATAAAACAATTTAATAAAACAAGGCACAATGTTTAAGGCAAAATTTATGAAGAAAGTATATAAAGTTAATATAAGATTTTTTAATATCCTTTGGGGGAAGAGGCACAAGAATTTAAAATAGCTTAAACATTATTTTTAGAATATTAGCCATAATAAAGTAAAATAAATTTGATACAATAGGACTATATTTTTTCCAGAAAACAAACTTCACTGTTGAATCATATTTCTGAGTTACATTTTAATTACGTATATACTTATACAGATATTTTTAATACACAGACTTTAAGTGCAGAAAATTAAGATGTCAGAGCATATATAATGATTTGACCAAAAAGGTAACATCTTTTCAGCATCTTTTGTTGTTTTTGAAACCCTCAATTTTAAAAAGCTAAGACTTGTTATTTTAAAAGCCTTTCTCACTATGTTTTTGCTTATCACACACACAAAGTGGGCTGAGAATGTGACATACTTCAACACAAGTCTAGACATGACAGTTAGAAAGTGACTAGTGAGTTAACACTGTTTCTCACACCAGCAGTGCTGACCATGTAAACTGTGCAGTGACTCCCTTAACCATCCCCATATACAAAACCAACCAACTGGCTTAGTTACGGCTCCAGTGCCAGCAGACAGCAATGCCAACTCATCTAAGACTCCTCCAGCTAGAGTTTTAAATAATGCAGTTATATTCAATTTATTTATGGCCAAAAGAATCAAGTACATTCTGGTAAATGCAGATGGTTTTCTGCATGTAAATAGCCTTCATTAAGCCACTAGATTTAATACATACATGAGACTGAATATTATATCAATCAATGAGACTAAAGTAAAAGCCCAGCAGCACCCATAAGAACTACCTTCTAAATGTTCAACCTTGTGAGTTAGTGGAATGCTTAATTCAATCCTTAGTAAATACAGATCACAAAAAATACATATAAAAAGAATGGAGGGTTTTATTTATATTAAACTACCCTCTTTTCAACCTTTATGAAAACTTTTGCTGAAACACTAGACCTCAGTGACAATATTTTCATAAGATGGTGGAAATTCTCTTATTCTTTGTGATAGCATATATATTTTAAATAAAATACTATATAAAAGATACACCATTTGACCAGGGGGCAGGGTGGGAGTGGTGGGGCTCCATCCTTGATTCTGGAGGGCTCTGATCTCTGGCACAGCGTCCTTAAGATTCCCTCCCAGACTTCCTACATAAACAGTGGGCCCTGTTGTGGGCAAAGGAACCCCTCAGGAGCAGTCTTTCTCCCTCCAGTCAAATACAGATCGCACACACAGCTACTGCCGACAATTTGTCATACAATACACTTTCTTCCCCACACTTAGGCACTTTCAGACCACAAGGGGCACTGCTGCCTACTATACTATTAAAAGGATCACACTACGGTGGAAATATAAAGCTGGACACTACATCACATGCCTAATGTACAGCTGGTGAAGGCTAAACAAACACTTCTTTTTAAGCACAGGTATAGAACAGTGGGCTATATGTCATGCTGCCTAAAAGCCTACACAGCACCTTCACTGTGTTCTATGCCTAGTCTAACTTAAAAACTCAGTATTTTGGACTAAACAAGGAGCAATACTTACAATAAAATGTCTACTTTTAGATGAGAGGCAATCACTTAGGTAAAGGCACTTGAAATCTAAACGCAGCTAAATAACCGTTCACTTACACATTTACTGTAAAGTTGTGTCTACAAATACACTCACACGGACACTTAAGAGAATAAGCACATATTTTATATGTGAATAGCTACTACTAAATACTTGATTTGTAGATTTTTAAAAACACAACGAAAAGGTAAAGATTAACCAAGGCCACCTGCTGTAGTATAAACACAGGTCAAGGAGGGACGACTTTCCAGCTCTGGGAAGAGCAAGGCTGAAGGAAGTCTCGCTGGCTCTCCTTTATGAGGAGTGACGTGAACAGCTTCCCGGCAGCAGGGACCAATATAATAATTACTACTACCACTAATAAACTTAGCGATTAGGTTTTTAGATACTCAGCACATCAATTTTAAAACAATCCACTATTACTCTACAGGGCCTTACTGGCTCAGGGATTTGCTGGGGTTCCTATGACTTCTCTTTCTCTACCCCTTGGTGCTTTTAAAGATCTGTTTCATCTAACATTCCAGCAAACAGCCTCTTCTTGCTTCTTCACTTATATCCAGCATTTCAGCGTCTGTCAAAACTGGTCTGCAGTGGCATGCTGCACTACAAAGGGTTGACTTTTACTTTTATTTACATCACCCCAAAATGTCACATATTTCAAGTACAATTTACAATGCACATTTACTTTTAATATTGGGAATAAAAATTTAAATATAGAGATTTTTAGACCAAGAGGCACCTTTGGCACGTTTTAAAGTTAAAATATTGGGCAGGGTATGTGGTATTCTCAGCAGTTGGGAAGCCAAGGCAAGAGTTAACATAAGCAAACCAGACTGAGCTACATAGCAAGCTCAAGGCTAGCCTGGGCTACACAGCCAGGCCCTGTCTCAGAAAATAACTGTGTAATGAAAATTAGACTTGCTGATTCTGAAACTCTAAGCATTCATTAGCTAGATAAGCATGCAACTTGTAACTAGTGAGGCCGACTACCATTTAACAGTCTGCTGACTTCAGAAGATGATCGTCTTACTTCTGGACGGCCAACTCCTCTCATACTAAGCTAGTATCTAATCATTTAAAAAAATATGAAAAAGAAACAAGAAAAAAATTTAGAAACCACTGGTAACTTCTGTAAAAGATAAGGCAAAAGATGAGTTTAAAATAATGTAAAAGCTAACTGCAGATTTCATTACAAGTGACCTGTGCCAGGCATGGACTGTAGAGTGCCAGGCATGGACTGTAGATTGTTTAACATGCACCAGGCCCTGTGCCTGTCCCTAGCGTCCCCACCCCTGCCAAAGAGACAGCTGCACACTGCTCATGGACTTTAACTATACACATAGAGAAACACAATAAACACTTTGTTGAAAGAACACCATAGGATACATCTATATGGAAGAGGTTAGAAACTATCTCTGGCTGGAATATTTACAGCTATGAAAGAAGAAATGATATACTTTCTTTCTAGGAGGCTAGAAAGGGTACATACAGTTAAAGGCTCTATTTACAAGACTATTTACAAGTAATTCCTAAAAGGCTACTCAAAACTATTACTAAGTCAAGATGACTATCAAGAAAGTACAAGTATTTAATCCAGAAGAATATGGTCCCATCAATTTGAGCATTTTCCGTGAAAATGCTCAGTGTTGCTTAACTAAATGATCTAATTACAAAGCATTTACAAGTCATCTTTGCTTTCCCCAACCTTGCAATCTGCAGCTTACAGATGCTTACTTGGTGAAATAAACAAAGACTTTATACTGTCTATTATACAATTACATTAGCAGTAGAAACATCGTTTCTATAAACACAGGAATAAAACTTCTAAATCAAAAAAAGAACAAAACTAATCTTCCTACACTATTCCGAGGGAAAGGTAAGGGGACTCACTATAGCAGCGTTTCACAACTGCAGCCACGAAACTCTCGTGTTCCGTGACACAAACACACATATAAACCCTGAATTACCCTAGAACCTACTAATATATTCTACTAAAATATATATACAAGAAACCTAACACGCAAATACTCTGAGCATATAGTTGGCTTCTAATAGAGCACTCTTTCAGAGATCACCCGATGCTCTAATGGAATCTGAAACTACCTTTTGCACTTACCAACGAGGCGTCCTGTTATTACAGGTTGGTTAATGGTCAGCAGTGAGAGTTACATATTTTCTAATATTAACTTATACTTTTAGTATTTTTAATTGCATAATCAACTAGTTAGCAAAATTAATTTCCAACGACAGTAATTTGTGTTACTACCTTTCTTCCACACCTTAAGCTATTACTGTTTTCTTAATCCTTCTTCAGTGCTCAATGGCTATGCTGCCTCTGTGAACCACTCTCCTGTGGATGAACATAATGGGCTCTGCTTCACTCACGTTTATGTAGCTGTGGTTTCTCTTCTAAATGTAGAGGAAGGCTTGGTTTAGTAAACAAGAGGAACAAGGGAGACACACTTGGCTAAAATCCACCCACTGTGACACAAGTTTTCATGTATGTAACCCAAGCTGGCCTCAAATTCACCCTGGAGCCTAGGTGAACTTGAAGTCCTGCTCTTCTGCCTCTTGTCTCCCAAGTGCTGATCTGAAGGTGTGCACACCTGTGCCCAACTTTTCCTCACTTAGTCCAGTATTATAAAGCAGCTGCTCTTAGTCTACTGCTCATCTAGATTTTTTGGTCACAAATTTTTATTCTAGTCTTTTGGTGACTTGACAGATGAAGGAAGACTTTAGCCTCTCATTAAGTGTAAAAGTCAACTGCTGAGAAGAGATCACTGCAGTTAACAAAAACGAAGTAAAGATGGCCACGGAAGCAGTTGGTAGTGTACACCTGTGATATCAGCAACTGGGGGGGTGGTGGTGGTGGTGGTGCTGGAATTGCCACCTGGAAGATGTCCTGTCTCTCCACCAGATGGCAGATCTTCCAGGTGGATCTCTGAGTTACAGGCCCTCAAAACTCAGGTATTATCTGTACAATTGTTCAACTAGTTGGTTAAAGTACGTTTCTAAGTGTTTTGCACAGTGTCAGGTTGTAGGTTGCTCTGAAATAATTTCTATAATAAGCTTCCATAATCTTGCTAGAATTAAGGCACTATAACACATCACTGCTAGATTTTATAAAGTTAGTAACAATCACACAAAACAAGAGCTGGTTTAAATATTCCATTTAAAAGTTATTGTCCTTACTGTCCAGTTAGTTGGTCAGCAAGGCTTTCAACAGTCCAGGAGTAACAGAAGGAGAAGGCTCATTTTATTTCTGTATAGTGTTCAGCATAAACCAGGACAACCCTGGTAACAGAACTGTGATGACTTCTATAGTCAACTCAGCTGTCCCAGGTGATACCACTTCCGGCTGATTACATGATTGTTATTTAAAATGAACCATTCTGTTAGTGTTTCCTCAAAGACTTACATGAAAATTGTGACCAATCAGCTGAACTTTGAACTGCCATTCACAATAAATTGCACTCAAAGAATCTAAACATGGAACTGGACTCACTGCTGCCAAATGTGTAGATGGAATGCAAAACCTCTTTCACATCATGGCAACTCTTACGTGGATATTCAAGATGAAAACGCTCAGGTCTCCACACAACTTCAAGACCCATTTTTTTTTTTTTAAGTCATTTCTGCTCAGTGTTTTAATATTTTTCAATATCCACTGCTGCTCAACCAAGAAGAACTTTCTGCATTCTGTGTGCAGCAACACTGGCTTCATCTTCTGAGTCAGACTCACTCTGGGATGTGGAGCTGTGTGAGGCGGAGCTGCAGGGGGAGGAGCATTCTGGAGAACACAGATAGTGCATGAGGGGGAGGCGGTACTTCCCACAGAAGTCCACAAACTTAATTTGTCTGACACAACAGTCAAAATAGACTCCTAGAGGGAAGAAGAATATAACAAGTCAGTAAAACTCAAGAGCCATAGTGTTTGAAACCCCTCTCCAGCATTTTGGAGATATATTACATATAAACTCTCTTCGGGACTCTTAAGTCGAGGTATGAGAGCAGCTCCTTCTAATAGAGCAGGGTAGACACAACGGGGATCTTCCTGTGGCAGTCTGATTGCTAAGAGAACACCAGAAAGGTGGGAGAGATGGCGCAACAGACAAAGGTGCTTCTTCTGCCAAGGATGACAACGGGAGTCCCTAGAATCTACAAGGGGAGGAGAAAAGAATGAACTTCTGCAAGTCTTCCTTGTTCACTGTGACATGATTCATTCATATTCTCATCATTTCTTGTTTTCTAAAACAAGAGAAAAGGCAAGACAATGTATCTGAAAGGAGCCAGCTGAGAAAGGATAGGACACAGTTTATTTAGCATATTTTCTCTGGGTTAATTTGGGGAGGGAGACAGTATCTGACAGAGATTACAGGATGTGTAAAGTGCCCTTATTCTACACCCCCTCCTCAGTTGCTAGCACTGTACTACACAGCCAGAGACTAAAAAAACACTTCCTTTAGTAATGATTAAGGAAGTAACTACCATACAAGAATTTTCAGAAAGGGAAATAGCTGTTAGCATCCATTCTTGTCTTTTGGGAAATCAAGGTCACTTATAGCTCAGGTTGCCCATAAAACTCCAGCCTGGCCTTGAACTCCTGATCCTCTTGCCTCCAGCTCTCCCAAGGGTTTAGGATTAATACATGTGCTCAATGACTGGGAGAGCAAAACTGACAGAAACAAAATGTCATCTTACAATTATGCATGCTCTAAATCTCCATGCTGCAAAGCTGATGGTCTCGTTTAGTTCACACAAAATCACACGCACTCTGGTAGACTAAAACTGGCATTTCCCTTATTTGGTTCTTAACTCAGTGCTCCTGAACTATGGCCCTTCAGTGAAGTAGAGCTACAGCTAGAGCTAAGAGGAAAGCAAAGGTTGCTGTGTGGCCAGACTCTAGCTGAACCTTTAAAAATACCTTACATTTTGTTAACATACAAAGTCCACCCCTACGGCTACAGTATAACCAAACTATATAGATTTGTGGCACAATGTCTCTCTGAAGAGGAACCTCAAACTTCACATCTAAGTTTCCAACTATCACACGATGGACCAAATATCCATTCCTTCATTCCTTCATAAAGACAAGAGGTCACTATGTAGTCCTGGCCTGCCTGGAACTCTGTGTCTACTGTTGGTCTCCTACTCACAGAGCTCCACTTGTCTATGCCTCTTGAATACTAGGAATAAAGGTATGTGCCACCAGGCCTGGCTCCCCCACAGATTTTTATAGTTTACTATTCTCAACAACTTAGAAAGTAGACACATCAATAGGTTTTTAATAAATCCTAGTAACTATATTAACTTCCTGTAATATTCTCATTTGTAAACTTTCAAACTCTACAAAGTGCCTCATAAATGTCACGATGTTTACTTACAGTTCAGTAAGGAAGTAGGAAGTAGGGAAGCATGTAAAATGACTGGTTCTATTTTGTTGATTTATTGATGGGATCTGAGATTTTTTTCTTGTTTTTTTTTTTTTTTATGGGTTTTTTTTTTTTTTTTTCCCCGAGACAGGGTTTCTCTGTGTAGTCCTGGCTGTCCTGGAACTCAGAAATCCGCCTGCCTCTGCCTCCCAAGTGCTGGGATTAAATGCGTGCGCCACCACCGCCCTGCGGTATCTGAGATTTTAAACTAATCATTTTTGAAAGGCATTCCTTAGATGAGCAGCTCTTTGGAATAGTAAAAAAGTCAATATAAAAAAAAAAACAGTTTAGAGAAGAGAATTCTTTTCTCTTTAGAGGTGCATTTCCAGAAGACAGTGGATTCTGGGCATAGGAGATTAATCTCTGGTGTGAATGCTGCCTCTTACAAGTCTCCACACCCTAGTTTCAAAGTTGCCCTGCCACCACCAAAGCTGCTTCACTATAGAGGCCCACAGAGGAAGGCTTAGCACACTCACTGACCCAGCATGCACCCTGCTGAGAGAAGGCAGCCAAGCCATCTGGGAGAAGGCTCTTCTTTACACCCAGTCTTTTCGTAAGAATCTCAGAGAAATTTAACTTGTTCCACCTATACCTGTCTTGTCTCAAGACAAGACTTTCTGAAAACAAATCTCACCCCAGCTTTGATATTATTATGCAACAATTTCTTGGTACTTACACTTGTCCTTCACATGCTCTAAATGTAAACCTTGAGCCATACATTTAAAGTTCTTTTGTACATCCAGAAATAGGCAGCCACCCATTCTGCTGTCATACATCTTTAAGCATACCCTAATGCTTCCTAATGCAGTAACCTTTAACACAGTGGTATAGTGATCCCCAACCAGAAAATCATTTTTATTGTTACTTCATAACTGTAACTTTGGTACTGTTATGAGTTATAATATAAATATCTAATATGCAATCTCTGTGCGTGAGAAGCACTGCCCTAGTGGTACCTAATACAATAATAGTAAGCTTTCAAATAAACATGGAAGATAGTCAAACACTTTTAAACTGTTTACTTCTGTGTTTGCTTTCATTTTACCATCTTACTTTTATCATAATGTTGCAAGACAAAATGAAATCTCCAGGGTGAAAGTCCCCTTCCTTCCTTCCTTTCTTTTTTTTAAAAATGTTAATCAAAGGCTTTATAAGTTTGGTAATGCTCAATAACAAGATGCCCATACAATCAGAAGTGTAACCCAATACCCAACCTAGATATACCAACTACCTTTAACTGGTGGAGACACTCGAACATCTGCCTCCATGTCTGTCTGTCTGTCTGTCTGTCTGTCTGTCTGTCTGCCTGCCTGCCTGCCTGCCTCTCACCTCCTAGATCCTCCTCTCCTTCTCCTCTCCTTACTCCTCCTCTTCCTCACCTTACTCCTCCTCTTCCTCTCCTTACTCCTCCTCTTCCTCACCTTACTCCTCCTCTTCCTCTCCTTACTCCTCCTCTTCCTCTCCTTACTCCTCCTCTTCCTCACCTTACTCCTCCTCTTCCTCACCTTACTCCTCCTCTTCCTCTCCTTACTCCTCCCACCTTAGCTCCAAAGTTCCTTTTCTTTAAAGCTAAAATTAGTGTGAAAATAATTTTTAAGGAAGGAGAAGGCTGAAGGGACAAAGCATCTTACTTTCTATTAACTGCTTTTCTGTGAAAGAAGCCTTAGCTAATTAAAACAGTACAACATCAAAATTTAAAAATAGCTAAGCGAGTGAAAAAGGCCAACCCCAGATCAACTTACCACCGCACTTTGGGTTTGGACAATTGCTGGCTGAACCCAAGTATCTAAGAAGATTCCCAGGAAGATCATAGGGAGTGTAAGAAATACTTCGGATCTTAATGGTCCTTGCAGCTAATTCCAGAAGAGTTGGAGGGTCATATGTTAAATCTCTAACAAAACGAACAACCAATGGGTTTCCTCGTAGACTCAGTTCTTCCAGGTGAATAAGATTAAGGATCTCTCGAGGCAGATATGTCAGCAAGTTATTGTGCAGGCTGAGGGATCGAAGCGAATGCAACCTAGAGTGAATGCCATGCAGAAACCAAAGGACACAGATGAGTAACATAGAGCAAAGTTATACTTACACACATTTCCATATGTACATGCATGTTTGTGTGCATATGCAGAGTCTGAGCTTTCCATATGAATTAACAATTAGGATTAAGGTCAATAGGTGAAAAATTAAGTATCTAAAATCAGCTCAGAATACAGTTTTAAAAATGCTATCAAAGACTATCCCTCTGGGATCTTAAGAGTACTGAAAACATTTACAAAGTATTCTGTGCCCTAGCTGAGATAAACAATAGAGTTAAAGACACCAGAAGGCATATTATATCACTTATATAATAAAAAAGATTTTATGTATATTATGAATAATGATTCTTTTCATTACAAAGCCACATCAGGACAGGAATTCTTAAGATAAAATATAAATTGTCAAGTTCCATAAGACCCAAGGAAAGTAATGCCAAATTACTACTCTATTTTCTCATCCCCCACCCCCGCTCCACCCTTCTCTTTCCAGTAACAAGAAGAAAACTGAATGGCTGGGCCAGTCAGTAAAGCCCATGCATTGTAGGCACAAGGACTCAAGTTCAATTGTGAAAATGCCAGTAAAAAACAATGACGTCAGGTGTGGTGATCACTCGTACCCCAGCACTGACCCCAGCACTGACCCCAGCACTGACCCCAGCACTGAGGAGGCAGTTTCTTGGGGCCTTCTGGCCAGCCAGTATAGCCTACTGGAAAACTCCAAGTCAACAAGACAACCCCTCCCCCATCTCAAAGGAAACAAATGGAACCCAGGTCATTATCTGGCTTTCACATGCAAGTGAACATGAGCATGAATACTTGTACCTACCTGTGTGTACACACATATGCACACACACACAGAGCTAAGCAAATATTTTAAGGAATAAACCAGAGCACTTAAAGTAAAATTGAAAATTATTCAGCTCATACAAACTGCAGAGCTATTAATTTCTCATTTTTTGAGACTACCTTTTTTTGAGTCTCAGTTTTTGAGACTACCTTTTTTCTTTTCCATTTAAATTGAGGTCTTACTATATAGTCCAAGTTGGTCTTGAACTTAAGGTTTTCCTGTTTCACCTCCCTAGTGCTGAGATTACTGGCATATTCTTAATTCCTTTCAGTGGTTCCTAACCACAGGTATGTCTATGGCTGAGACTACTCACTGTGAGAGCTGGGGTGGCACACTTTGGATCTTGTTGTCACACAACACCAAGTAATTCAGAGAAGGCAGATTTGCTAATTCTGGTGGGATTTCTTTAATGAAGTTTCCTCCAAGGTATAAACATTCTAAACTGCAAAAACAAATTTAAAAAAAAGTAAATAAATACAAGCTGGTCAAGATACTCTATTGTCTCTACTATAACAGACACAGAACATCTACTCAGTCACTAAATGTCTCACTTAGGATTTGCTATGTGCCAGGCAATGTCCAGAGAATGTAATCCCCAGGGATCTTATACCATAGCTTGCCAGACAAGATACTGCATGATTAAACTACCAGACAGGAGGGACAATTCAAGCACACTGAAAAAGAATAGGGAGGATCACAGCAGTTCTCACCAGAAAAGTTTTCCAGAGTACTGGGAATTCAGCTGGGCTATGAACCTAGCCCTTCAGATGGAAAGAGAAAAATTCTGGGTAACGGAGGGACCTTTAAAGATTCTATGGGCATATCTGTAAATAAGAGAGTTTTCCTGAAGATCTCAGACAAGGCTGGGGTCACCAGGTTACAGGCACCCCGAGATTCCACACTGGCATGCTTATGTTTGATGCATTTATTAACTGGTAACAGGAAAACCAAAAGTCCTGTTCACCTTCCTAAAAAGGCAGAAAATCATATGCCAAGTTTTTATATTTTTTTTTTGTTTTTGTTATAGCAAGTAAATTCTTCAGAGGCAACCTGAATAAATTATGTAACTAGACTGTACCATGAAGTTTCTAGGTAATCCTGTTTTCTTAATGAAATAATATCTTACACATACTACAACACCACTCTCTGATGACTAGGGCAAGGCTGCTTTTGAAAGATGTTTTCAGGGAAGTAGTAGTCAGCTCTTACAATATAATAAAAATAAAACACACACACACACACACACACACACACACTATTTGGAACGTTTCCACTATCACTTTTGGTTTTGTTATTCTACTCAGAACTATCATTCTTTTAAAAAAAAGATTTTCAAACAAAATGCAAGTAAAATAAAACAATAGCTTTAAAGTGGGAAAAAGCAGGCTACTACACTATTATCCAAAATAGGAATTATCTCATGGGCATTCTTTAGCATGTATATATGTGCATATGTACATGTGTGGAGCCAGAGTGGACATGAGTGTCTTTCTCAAACGCTATTTACCTTACACAGGAGGCAGTCTCTCCTGAGCCTGCCTCACCTGCTTTGGTGATCCTATCTCCACCTCAAACCCATACCCCTTGTCAACACTTTAAAAAGAAAAACAAACCAATTTGATGGTGTGAAAAAGGTACCAATCTCTGTACCTTTCTGTCTATAAATCTGCAGTTTGCTAAATAGTGAAATTTAGCATAACCTTTCTGTGTTCCTGGTCATTTGTATATCCTCAAAGCATTGTGTCCATACCATTTACTAGTTTTCTCACGGGTTAGACAATTTCCATTACTTTGTTGAAAGCTTTGCTGTTAAACACGTGTTTGCATAGCTTTGTTTCTTTGTGGCCTACTTTTGTTTGTTTTTATATGCATTACAATAATTCAAGCTAATTTTGTAAGAGGAGCAATTCAAAAGCTTTAGTTTGTCATTTGCCTTCTTACTGGATGCTAGTCTCCTTCCTATATAACCACAACTTTCCCCTCAGGTTTCTGTCTCCCCCGCCCCCACCTCATTCCCTATATACAAAAGCCACACTGCAGACACATTCAAGCTTCTGATTCCTAAACCTTCCTGTTGGAATGTTACTTAATTCATATGAAGCATTTCTCTTTGTTCTTTTAAATTCATTTTGCTTTGAAATCCACTTCCCCTGATTATCAATGCTTCCAGCTTTTGTTGTTGCTGTTAGCATTTGTTTCATTCAATTCTACCACTTACTGGCATAAAGCTGTTGCTGTCTCTGTAACACTATGTGTTCATATTGTGAACGCTTGGTTCCCAGCTAGTCAAGTGGGTCACTAGCGGCAGACCGCTGAAGGTAATGCTGTCTCTGGTTCTTGCCATCTATCATGTAATAATCAACCCCTGCCACACATTCCTCCTTGAACTGAGCTGCTTGCTCCCCATGCCTTCCTACCATAAGAACTAACCAGTTCTTTCCACAAGTTACTTCAGTCAGGAATTTTGTTACAGTGAAACAAAAACAATCAAGGCAACTACTAAGTAATTAACAGGCAGGTAGGAATACAGAGTAGGTAATCTCCCAGGAGATCAGGGAGCAGAGCAAGGTAGGAACCAGGGACTGGGTATCACCTTCAAAGACCCATTCATGTTTTGAATGGGGCAATGCAAGATTTCATCATGATTATTCAGAATGGGTTGCAACTTAAAAGTTACAAAATATTTATTTCTAGAATTTTGCATGTAATATTTCTGGGCCACAGTTGATTTTGAGTAACTGAAACCCAGTAAAGACATATCATAAGTTGGTGTGGGAGACTACTGGATATTTTTCTAAGAACTTTGAGTTTTTTCATAAATGTGCATTTTAAAACTTTTCTTGCTGTTTCACTGAAAAGTTCCTTTTTTGCCTTCTGAGTTAGGAAACACACTTCAAGTCCTTTACTGCTAAAGGACTTTTACATAGATAATTCCTCAATATAATTACTCCCATTTATTAAATTTCATCTGCCTTTTATAAGCTCATCTTCTTTATTTGCTATGCGGTGACTTTAACAGTGTATCAACTGTATATTCTTTTCTACTTTTGATTACGTAAAGCTTTCCAAGTAGTGCCCACTATCCCCTTTAACCAGTTATACACAGAAAATGCTTTTAGCTTCTTTAGTTTAATAAGTATATTGAGTATAATTAAAAACATATATATATCCCATATCATATGTATAGTTAAAGAAAAAACGGAATTAAAGTGAACAAGGAATGCACAGATGCAGAAAACACACACACACACACACACAGGCTTCTTGAAGTAACATCCCTGTATTAAGTCATTTATCTTCAAATGCTATCTCCTTAAACAAGATTCAAAAGTAGTTACAGAAAGAGAAGGAAGAATTTAGTTCATTTTATACTTCCAGTAACAGTTCATCACTGGGAAGTCAGGGCAAGAATTTGGAGACAGGAACTGAAGTAGAAGCCTTGGAGGAATGCTGCTTATTGGCTTGCACCTTGTGGCTGGCTCTGCCTGCTCATTAACAGCCAGTCAGTGTCTGTCTGTCTCTGTCTTTCTCTCTGTAGCCTGGTATTATGATATTTATTAAAATAATGCTATGGGTTAGTAGAAACAGAAAAGAACCAATTCAGTTTGCTTTCTTAAGCTGACCCAGGACAACTAGCCCCAAAGGTGGCATTACCCACAGTGAGCGAGGCCCTCCCATACCAATCAATTTAGAAAATAGAAGACAGGATAGTCTTGTGAGAACATTTTCTCAATTGAGATTCCCTCTTCCTTCTATCTGTGCCAAGTTGCAATAAAACTAGCCAGTAGAATACCCCAACATACCAGGAAATAAACAGGTCATCAAGAATGGTTTGCTTCTTTTTGAGTTGTGGTCAATGGGGTCCTAGAGATCCCTAAATATTATCAGTGCTTCTGATTATTCTCCAGATCTCAATAGTAAGACTAAACTGCTCAAGACACTCTATATTTGAATCATAAAACATGGAGAAATCAAATGGGTACTGACCAGGAAGCTCCATGTCTATTGGCTAGCTAGAAGATGCTATGTATGATAGCAGAGGAGAAAAGTAATCTCAGCCAGTGGTAAACCTTTCAGGCTACAGTAAATGTCTGAGCTTGAATTCACCCACAGATGCAACAGTGGCATGGCTGCTACAGAGTAACCAACCATGTTCTTTATTCTAGTAAATGAATTAGTAGTAAAAGGACTACTAATGACTTACTGCTATATACAGATCAGTGCCTCTCTCAATCATAATCAGATTCTACTTCTTGAAGTAAATAACAATTAATACTGAGACCCACAACTGGTTGGCATGCAAAGAAAAAAGACTGAGGAGTGTTAAGCCCTAAATTGGATATCCATTTCACACGCATACCTCCAAGGCTTAGGAATCTTCCAGTTAGGAGGTAGAAAGGCTCTTAAGAGCGTCAAGGAAGCAGTATTTTCTAGACAGAGGAGGATCATTGCACATACGAATTCACAGCAATTGTGACAGCATGTGAAAGACCCATGCAAACTCATTCCACACAAAATCACAGTGTGGAGTGAGAAGGTAGATTCAAAGTCACACCATTAGCTGAGTTATTACTTAGGCATTTGATAGCTGCTGGGATAGGGACAGTCAGTTTCCTTTAATGGTATAACCCCCAGTAGGTCAGCCACACTCCAGAGCAGGCCCAACAACCAAGCATAGGCAGGGGACACAAATATTGAACTTGGTGAGTTTAAAAGAAAAAAGAAATAACAAAATGAGAGAGAACTTGGGTGGGTACAGAGATAGGAATAGACCTGGGAGGGAGGAAGGGAGACTATTATCAAAATACACTGTATGAAATTAAAGGAGGTCAACACAGGGACACTTGACACCTACAGACCCAACGTCCGACTGTGAATGGGGAAGGAACTTTTACTTCACTTCTAGCATTCTTTTACTGATCTTGCTGACTTACGTCTTTCCTAGGCTATCCACTGCAGTCTAGCTTTAAGATTCTAGGGATTAACTTTTAGCTTGTCACAATCCTCATATCTTTATCTATGATAATCACATGAAAAAAAAAAAAACAAGAAAAAGTCACAAAAAAGGAAGACATTGAAGGGGGGAAAAAAAAAGAATGGGACAAGGATTCATAAAATTCACTTGGCTCAGATTTAGTCTCCCAGTATCATCCTGGATTCCATACAACCCATTTACTCAAAGTCTGCTGCTCAGGGAGTAATAAATTAATCTCTTACTCAATTAGTTTCTAAAATGAGAGGGATAAAAACCCAAGTTTATTAGCAGAAATTTCAAAGTGTGAACTACTTCTACCTTTCAGCACTGTAAAACAAAAATAAGCTTGCCTACACAAAAGCCAAAAACATATATTTATTTGCTGATGAATACTATATGAACAAAATTTATATTCATAATGGCCTGATTTACTTCAGGAGAATAAAGCCAATCATAGAAATAAACAAGAGTTCTAGCAACTCTTTACTTGTTATTTGTTTGAAAGTTATTTTTTCTTTAATTTAAAATTTTGCCACGCTGGGGAGTGGTGGCACACGCCTTTAATCCCAGCAATGGGAGGCAGAGGCAGGTAGATTTCTGAGTTCGAGGCCAGCCTGGTCTACAGAGTGAGTTCCAGGACAGCCAGGGCTACACAGAGAAACCCTGTCTCGAAAAAACAAAAAAACAAAACAAAAAAAAAACAAAAAACAAAACAAAACAAAACAAAACAAAACAAAAATGCCACTAAGGGAAAGATCAACAAGCAGAGTGCAAAGACCTCATCCAAGACCACCAAGAGACCCTGGGAGGCCAGTGACACATGCAACCAAGATTTGTTATTCTTCCCTGGAATATGACAAAGTGGACACGGGAAGTTTTTGTAGCCCATATATGCTGTGTAATTTTAAAAAACTTCTAAACTGTTCTTTACAAGGACAGAATCTTCTTCATGTGTCAAAATACTTGGCTCAAGCAGTGGCTCTTGCCTTGAATGTGGAAGGTCATACAGTCCACCCTTAGCACCAGGAAGGGAGGGGAGGAGCAGCACAGCACACAGTACATGCCAGGTTGGAGAAGTTACAGAGACTTGGGAAGAACATGATGTTCAAGAGGGTTCAAGTGACTGTAACACCACCTCTCCATTTCCCACCATTCATCAACGATTTCAGAATAGTTAGCAGTCTTGAGAACTGAATCACTGAACTTTTACTATGGCCATGATCTGGCCTCAAGCAACTCATTCACACAAAATCTCAGCTTCCTCATCCTTGAAAAGAAGGAAATGAACTAGGTCATGGTCAAAGCTGCTTTTTTCTTTAGGAGTACAATTCTGCAATGAGCCTTTTGGCTTACATCCAAGTAGAATTCATTATCTAAACCTTTGCTGATTCCTGTTAGTAGAGAAATAAAGCACAGGACTGAACAGCAACAACAAAAGTCTCATATCAAGTCAAAGACATAGTGAGGCCTTGAGTAGCTACTGTCAGTACAGAAATCAGGTCAGCTAGGTATAAATGACCTGACCCAATCCTCTGAATAGCATATGCCCCAGAACAGAAGCCTAGACACTCATGTCCTAGCCCTAGCTGGCCACTGTGGAAAATTCTTGGATTTGGCATCAAAGACCCCAGAATTCAAATCCAAGCTCTACTACTCAATAGGCTTGTGATCTGAGCCCTTGTTTCTTCCTCTAAAAATGGAGAGTGTCTTATCTTAGAATCATAGACAACATTAGCACCCTACACTGCACATTTTAAGTTTTTAAGTGGAATTTTGCTTACTTCTTCTTCCATGTGATGGAGACAATACTCTCCCTGGCTTCCTCTTAGTATACTGGGATATGAAAAATTACATGTTAAAACTAAGAGGAACCAAAGCCCAACCAGTGAACATAAATCCCTCTGAACCGTCCGATAGCCCACCTTTTCCTAGCACTCCTGTTGTAGGTCACCATCATTTCTAGTCTACCACAGTGGCCTCTTACGCAGCCTCAAAATCCCCTCATCTTCATCCTCTCCACTCCACAGGTACAAGACATGTGTGCACTCAGAATACAATCCACACTCTATGGAAGCCTTCAAGATGGGATGCACTGAGTGGCCCCAATTTTTATCTGCCACTTTCTAGGGCAATGATCATTTTTCAGCAGTTTGGTAATTCTCCTCCTTGCTCCCGGACTTTCACATACCCTTCTTCTTACTTGGATTGATCCTAACGGCCTCATCTTCACTGTTACTTCCTTCAAAAGCCTGACTCAAATGGCACTTACTCAAGGACCAAAATAGGTCAAATCCCTGTTGTTCTGTCTTTGGGTACTAGCCCTAGAACTTAGGAAAATGCCGGACACATCAAGTACTCTGTAAACATCTATCGAGGAGCAAATTAAGGGACACTGTAACCAGATGCCTCATTTGGCAAACAGGAAGTGCTAAGTGGCCAGTGGAAGGGTGAGATGTGAAGAAAAGGTCCTATTCCCAGGTCAATGTTTTCCTGTTAACTGGAATGTTCTTTCTGGCCCCATATTCTTTTATCTTGGCTAATCCAATAAAGGAGCTGAAAATATTTAACAAGTGGAAGATACTTTCTTGTTTTACTTCCAACTCCCCTGCAGGGCACCACAGGGTGCTTCTATTATCCTTTCTGTACCTCCTCATGCCAGTACACTCTACACTACTGACCAAGCTACTAGGAGAGGCAGCAGATAGCTCCTGTAAAGAAGGAATTACATTCAATAACATGGATACAATGGTGGGGTGGGTGCGTGACACACAGAGGAAGTACAGTTTGGACTCTAATTGACCTAGGAACAGTTTTAAAAAGGAATTGCGGAAAAGACTCCTAAGATAAGATTTTGAAATGTGAATAGTTCCCCAGGGTCAAAGGAAGTGCATCCTAGTGAAGAGGTTTTCCATCCAACCCCACCCAATACAATTTAGTGAATGACAAACTGCCTTTCTATAGAGGGAGAACACAAGGCTCACTAACTCCACAAACGGTACTTTGGGTATCTTAAAAGGGGGGTGGGGGAACTGGTAATACAATAAAAACCAAGGAAGTAGGTCAGAGCACCTCCTATGCCACGTTAAATGCCACTTTGATGCAAACGCATGGAAAGTCACAGAAGACTTACCACCAAGAAATCGCCAACCTCTGTTAATGGGTGCCCATTTGGCTCCCCCTCTAGACTCAAGAAATAAGACGAAGTCGGGCTTAGTGGCGCATGTCTTTTAGTTCCAGAATTTGGGAGGTAGAGGCAGGCGGATCTCTGAATTCGAGGATAGCCTGCCTGGTCTACACAATGAATTCCAGAGTTCGGGGGTGGGGGTGGGGGTGCGGTGAAACTGCCTGGAAGACCTGAGCAGGCCAAACACCACGCAAAGGCCACCACCCACTCAACCATAGTCAGACGCTACCAGTGGCGATGGCTCGCCAGTGCCTCCCCCCAACCTGGTGCCACGGAGCTCGGGCCACCGCCCCGCTCCCCTCCCCACCCCACCCCCGCCTCGCCATCGCTCACCTCTGCAAGTTCTCGATCTCGGCGGGGATGCTCTGCAGCTGGTTGCCGCCCAGGCTGAGGGTCTGAAGCGCGCGCAGCTCCAGCAGCGAGGCGGGCAGCTCCTGGAAGCAGTTGCCGCTGAGGTTGAGTACCTGGAGGCTGCGGCAGAGCGGCGACTGGGCCAGGCCCTTGGGCAGCGAGCCCGGGCCGCCGAGCCGGTTGTTCCTGGCCAGCAGCGTGCGCAGGCCGCTCAGCGTCAGCAGCTCGGGCCCCAGCGCGGTGAGCGCGTTGCCGCTCACGTCCAGGAGCTGGAGGTGCGGGAAGCCGCTACCCAGCGCCCGCGGCAGCGACGTCAGACGGTTGTACGGCAGCAGCAGCCGCAGCAGCGCCTCCCGCGCGCCGCGCCGCTCCTCCGCGCGCGCCTCCAGCTCCGACTCCAGCGCCTCGGCCGACACGCTGAGGCGGGACCAGTTGAGTTCGGCCTCCCCGAGCGCGGCCTCCTCCATCTCGCCGGATCCCAGGCCGCGAGCCGAGGCCGCGCGCCCCGGAACCTGAAGCGAGCGCCGCGTCGGAAGTGGGGCGGCGCGGCCCGGCCTGGGGGCTCACCCCGCGCGCCGGCCGAGTCACGCGATGTCCAAGCGCGGGGTGCGCGCGCCGCTCGGGGGCGGGCTCCGCCTCACGTGGCGCGCAGCGCGGCGTCAGCTGCGCAAGAGCCGAGGCCTGGCGCTCCCAGGAATTGTCTGAGGGAGTTATGCTCGCCTGGACGTCACGGGGCTCAAGGAGCGAGCTAGAGGCCTGAGGCTCCCCGGAGCGGGCTGCTCGCCCTTTATAGTCCGGCGTCCTGTGGCCTTGGCTGCCAGAGTAAATAGATCCCTGGCTGATGATCCCGCCCGAGGGCCTGAGCGTCACGGGGCGCCGCCTCCTTTGTTCTCACTTGAGACGGCCCCCACCCGTTTCTGCGGGATCCTGAGAGAGCAGCCATGACCGAAACGCAGCCCGAGAGTTTAAAGTCTGCAGGAGAGCGGGCCTGGTCCTCCGCTCTGAAATGTAGAGGCATGTGTACTGAGTTGGAGGCCAGCCTGACCTACATAGCGAGTCCCAGGTTAGCCAGGGCTACATGGTGAAGAACAAAGGCCTCTCTTCGAAGCTAAAGCCAAAGTCAGAGGTTGCAGTCGCCCCATCTGGAAAACTTGATTAAAGACCTTCCCTTCTCTGCTTGCCTTGTGTCTTTTAAAGTAGCATTGTCGACAGAGGAGTTCCAGGACTGCCGTGGCTATGCAGTGAAACCTTGTCTGGAAAAACCAAAAGCAAAAACAATAACAACAAAAAGCACCATTTTAAAAGTAATGTGTGTCGAATAAGAACTTTGCCCATGTCGATCACAGAATCACTCCTGTGGGCTTTGGTCTCTTGTGGATGGGAATGAGCTTGGGAGTTGGATAGAGGAGGCTCTTTCATTTGAGCTAGCTTACACCAAGCTCAGATGGAGAAAGCATTCAGAGCCTCAAGTGCGAACTAGATGGAATTTAATTGGGAAATTCTTGACTCTGGCTCTAATTCATCAATTCCAATAGATGTATTCTCATCCTGATCCCACTTCAATTTCAATCTTTTCTGAGATTACATTTTGTAGTTTTAAAGTCATTAATGAAAATGAGAGAAATACTCAGTTTAGTTTCTTGCCGACTTAAATACAAGAAAGTTACAAGGTTATGTGGTAACCAGTGGGATTGAATTTTTTTTTTCCTAAAAAACAATAATCTCATGCCCTCAGTTATGTAGATGAGAGACTTCATGCTTCTTCACAGCTAAGCTTTATGGTTGAGTTGTCATGGGAGGATATAGTTTGTTAGTTTAACAATCTGTGGGTGGAATTTTTTTTTTTTAAAGTGTGCTGGGCATAGTGGTACCTGGTGTTAATCCCAACACTCAGGAGACAGAGATGGGAATATCTCTGTGAGTACCAGCCTGATCAACATAGTTTTAGGACTGTCAGGGTAACAAAAAAGAGACTGTCTAAAATAAAATCTGCAAGTATCTTGAAGACATCTGATTTGAAAATTTCTTTTTTTAAAATGGACCTTATTTCAGATCAAACTAATATTCTAGAAGAAGCCCTACTGTGATCAAGAATACTTAATGCAGCCAGGCAGTGGTGGCGCACGCCTTTAATCCCAGCTCTTGGGAGGCAGAGGCAGGCAGATTTCTGAGTTCAAGGCCAGCCTGATCTACAGAGTGAGTTCCAGGACAGCCAGGGCTACACAGAGAAACCTTGTCTTGAAAAACCAAAAAAAGAGAAAGAAAGAAAGAAAGAAAGAAAGAAAGAAAGAAAGAAAGAAAGA